ATTTCGTGTGACGTGTCATTTGTTGTTTGGACACATTAGTCGTATTGTTGGCATGTTTTGTTTTACTACATGTATGCGTAGGACGTAACGCTTGGTACATCCGTCACCTGATGTTTGATTCTATCACTAATGTTTTGGATGAATATGTTAGTATTTTCTTATGATTTGATTTCGTCTTTTCTTGGTATGATAGCGCGACAATATATATACATATATATATACATATACAGATATCTCTGTTACGGAACTATTGAGATTACGCGTGTGGTAAACGTGTTGATAAGTGTCGGCATTTAGTTCCGTAAAGTGCAACGAATGGTGTATAATGTGCAATGGCATAATGTATAAAGTGCGACTGTGGCGGTGTCGTCGTGTTGTAATAACATCAAATTCTATTGTAATTATATAAGCATATACGTGTTTGTATTAGGTCGTTGCATTGAATGAATTCGTAATTGTGTAATCGTATCGGGTGAAAAAAGTGCATCTGTCTGTTATTAGGAGTGCAACGTAATGTTAATAGAAGTGCAACATATTATCAAAAAATATGCGATATACGCATACATAGTAATTAGTCAATACAACTGAAAAAAGACAATGAAAAATGAATGTCGTAAAATTCAAGACAACGAGCGAGTGCTATATAGAGCAATATTCGTTAATAAATTGACCACCTGTCTCAACACTGTCCGGATAAAAAAATAATAATAATAATAAAAAAAACAGTTGATCAAGATGAATACAATCATCCCCTTGTCGCCTCGCTTGTCGTCTGTGTCTGCATTTTATATATAGTATATATATATATGTTAATATTAAGTCATCACATTTTAATATGTCTATGTTATCGACAAGGCGAATCGAGTTAGCATCCTGCCATTTCGCATATAATGGGTATTAGACGAATATTTGTTCATTTACCGCGGTTGGATTTGACATGTATGTCTGATGCTTCTTGGGGCATGTACGTGCGTTGTGGCCTGTCGTTTCACCACATGACTTGCACGTCCTTCTTTTCTTTTTTGACCCTTCAATCCCTTTCTCTTTCGCACTCTTTAGTCTCTTACCGCTACCTTTGTTCTTGGATTGGGTCGGTGGGTGAATGTTTACCTCTTGAGGAGCGGCCATGCCGACGAATGATTCAAATTGGTGTTCTTTTCCAATGTGCATATCATCCACAGCACCCCCTGTTGAGCAGCATACATTTTATTCTTTATGAAGTGCAATGACTTGTGTCATAATGTGCAATGTGGATATATATAAAGTGCAGTACTGTTACTTAAATATTTAAAATCATTATGTATATTTTACCATTGATTGTTGCATCCCCTTGTGTTCGAGCAGACAGTAGCTTAATCTTGTATGCTTCGACGATTTTTGAAAATTCAATGAGGTGGTCGACACAGGGCTCGGCTAATCCAATGCATATATGTATATCTGACCATAGTTTGTTCAACAATCGATTTATATCATCAGCATTGGCACACTGTGCATCAATGTTATCGAGAACGTGAAACATGGGATTACTAAGTGCCTGCTTTGTCCATCTCGGCATGATATATGCTGACGGAATGAGATTGAAGCCAAGATCTTTGAGCACAACAAATACGTGTCTACACAACCACCCGTACAACTCGAAGTGCTTGCACGAACACGAAGACGTAGTTAGAACCACATCATGAACGACAGTGAAGGATTTTCCATTCGTCTCTTTGATTATGAATTCCATATGCCCTTCACTTTCAGACACATTCAATACACGACAGGTGAAACATGCTGCACATATCTCATCTTGTACGCGGTAGAATGAGGATATCGTGTAAACAGACATCGCGTGCTTTTCAACCGGCAAAGGTGTCTTCAAATCAGCAATTCACGTCTCACTGTCATTTTGTAGTTTGACTGTCACGTTCCGCTGCGCGTCCATCGCACTCTCGAAATGTAGTAAGAACTCGACTAAGCTAGAATGGCTATTCGTGAAATGACCAAACCAACTGTTCTCACTCTCGGACCTTGATGTTGTCCTCGCATCAATCCGCTCATTTTGACATTCCTGAAAAATGCTGGAATCCAAAATTCCTTTTTTGCAAATAGATCATTAAACCAATTGTGTGTTTCCAGCGTATAGTCTCTCATGATTGCCGCCCATTTAGCTTCAAACTCGTCAGGCTTTATAGTTCGATCCCACACAATTTCATTAAGCCTTCTCCTGAATTCTACATCGTTACCTATTGAATGGCCGACCTTGTCGCATAATTTATTCATTATATGCCACATGCAAAATCGGTGTTTGCAAGTTTCGAATACCTTAGGAAACACAATGCCGATCGAGGGATCTTGGTCAGTGACAATATATTCGGGTTCGTGCATAATTGCATCTTTGAAATTTTTGAACACCCATTCATAAGAGTCCACGTCCTCTTTTGATATTAATGCGGCGGCAAATGTAACGCACTTGTTGTGGTTATCTATTCCGGTAAAAGGCGCAAACACCATTTTGTACCTACATGTTGAGCAATTTGAGTTAGTACACAGATGATAACGTTTATATTGTGCAACCAGGGACCATAAAAAGTGCAATTACTGAATGTATAAAGTGATATTACTTAATGCATAGAGTGCAGTTATTAATTGTATTGTGTGCTATTATTTAATGTATAAAGTGCTATTACTTAATGCATAAAGTGCAGTTACTAATTGTATAGTGTGCTATTACTGTTGACCGGTACAAAATTATTATTGAACTGACAAACTACGTCGGAAAAATATGTGTGAAATTTATGCCAACCTGTTGGTGTCGTACGTCGCATCAAACGATACAACATCACCAAACGAACTGTAGTTCCTCCTCGAAATCGGATCAGCCCAAAAAAGCCGTTTCAAATGCTCTCATTCGTCGAGCTCGTACTGGAAGTAGAAGGCTGGGGTTGCTTCCCGACGCTTATGGAATTTATCGATAATAAAATGTTCATCAGCTCCTAAAATGTACGCACGGACTTCCCGCTTAAAGTTTTTGAAATCCACGTTGGTGGCTCCGACGTTCGGAATACCCTCCAACCATCTCCTTGTATAATCGGTGCGACTTGACCGGCCCTATATTTGCTTTTATGCAATTCATTACAAACGACCGATGTCCTGCATTCATCGACCTATTGATCTTCATTTGCGACCTGCAAACTTCAGATGTCATCGGGTGGCTGTGCTTTTCCTCGAAGGTTTTAACGATGTATCCATTCAATCTGTCATATCGAATCCCAATCCTGGCAGTACATCCTACCCGGTTGGACACCCTACGTCTTGTCACGTGTCCTTTAGCATGTACTGATGGACTGACGACTGCATGATGCTTGTGACCCTCTCGCGAGCACACAAGGTACTTCCAAATAATCGTCTTGTCACGTGCTTTCACCAACGTGCTATGTCTCACGTCAAACCCAACAGTACGAGCATAAGCAGTGTAGCAGTTCACCGCTTCGTGTAATTTCCGGAATCTTTGTCCTTTATATGGTTTAATCGATTCGTCACATTGTGGTATCCAATGTTTCGTTCCACCCGGTGTGATTAAAAGTTGATGATCTGTAACCGGCAGTTGCATTCCTTAAGTGCCATTGCAAGGGGGAAAAAAATGGAAAAATGCATATTATTAGTAATAACTAAGCCCATCGATTGCACTGGTGAGAACATACGATTGCACTCAATAGAATCTATTGTTGCACTTTGTCGCAGTAAAGATAAAATTGACCCCAGTACCTAGTTGAGATACATTTAATTCCATTGTTTATGCTGCTCAGCAAAGAAATCGTATGATATCCCTAAATCACATGAAAAAATCAAAGTATACCAGATCAACTATCCACTTATTACCTATGAATATTACATATTTTGACATGTCGATAATTAAATCGAGAACACTTGATTTCGTATAACAATTGACCAAAATCGAAAGTTCAATGGGAAGATATACCTGAGGCCGTCGAGTATGTAATATGATGGATCAATCGAAAGTTTCAAACTCACGTACGGGTAATTTGTACGGAATTCTCGTTGGATATGGCAGAACGGGGCTCGAAATAGTGAAGATCAGTCGCAAAATTTCAAGCGAGCATAATTTTTCTCCATTGATTTCGTGTTAATCGATCTCGTGAAATACACCGCTGCGAGATTTGAGGTACGAGATTTAGGGCATGTATGAACGTAGCTAAGGGTTTCCACCTGCAGGTCATCAATGAATGCTCGGTCTGTGCGGGTATTAGCTCAAAGGAAATTGGTTGATAAGTAATTTACGATAGTACCCTCCAATGTTATCTGTATGTGAATTCCAGCGAATTATGTATGTCCGTCAGATTGAATTGATCCAATGTTCATTATTTATTCTCATTTCCTTCACTAGCAACCATTCTCATGGGAACCCATCCATATATATATATATATACACCAAATTTCCCAACATTTTCCTTTTGATCGGATAGCATCAAACAAGTGAAACCCACAACTCAAATGTTCCCACTTCCCAGCAACTTTCGAATAAAAAAAAAGAAATAAATTGAAAGACAAAAGAAACGGAAGAGAAATTCTCCCGCAGCTCACCATCATCTTCTCCACGCATCAATCTTCAGACCAACCACCTCGTTTTCCCGGCGAGCCACCATGAACCAACGCACCGACAACATGAGCTCCTCACGACCAAGCTCGAGTTCGAGCCCAAGGTGCCATTATCAGCCTCGCACAGCCCCACCTCGGTCAGCTGCCGTTCACCTCGCACCAGCCGCTGTCGTTCCCAGCTCCGGTGACCTCCATTCTGCTGACGAGCAGCTCCAGCACTGAACCACAGTTCATCCACGGCCTCCCGTCTCACCACCTCGAGCTTTTATTTTCGGTGAAGTCGACGTCCTCCCAAGCTCACGAAGTCCAGCTGCGGCGACCACAGCTCCTGTCGTCCTCATCGGCGTTCAGCCCTCAATCCTGCCGATGAAGTCATTTCACGCAGGTCCAATCGAGCTTCACACCTTCATCCTCAACTCGCCTTCACGTGAGCTAAGTCGGTCGGTACGTGAGACCATTCGAACAGCTAGCACGAGCTCAGCCCTGAGCTTGATACAACACCCGAACATCCGTACACCCGGTTTCAAGCCAGATCCCCTCATATCCACGTCCGTACGCCTCATATTTGTATGCCCTACGTAAACCCAACCAAAACCGAAGCAAACGGCCCGCGTCCGTACACTTCATGTCCCGTGCGAGCCACCCTTGGTGCAGAACTGAGCCATTTCTATCGAGCTGCACTAGAATCGAGGTCCGCACTTATACCAGAGACCGACACCTCAAAACAGACCCAAACCCGCAGTCGAACCACCTTCAAGTAGTCGATCTATTTTCCTAAGCTCACATTCAAGTTCTCTTTCTTTCTCTCTTTCCTATTAGTATGCTTTTTTCCAATCCCCTCAATGAAGCTTCCGTCTTTTCTTCCCTACAAACTATTTCCTCTCTTCTTCTACCATCCTTCTCTCTTAACACTATTTGCTTACTCAGCCTCTTTACCAGACGAGAAAACTCTGTCCCAACAACATTCTCGGACAGCAAATTCGAGCATAACAAACAACTTATGGTCAGATAAATGGCTAATCATGAGCTTGAATTCAATTTCTTAGTAAAAATATTGGAGCCTTAAAAGATCCCAATTGAGCAGTCATTTGTATAACAAGTCGTCGCTTGCTAGTTGTGTTGGGAGTATTTTTACCGAAGTAGAATCGAAAGATACGTACCCGGGTCGTATCGCAAGGAAGGTTAGCCGAATTTAATTGCACGATTATTCAATCACAAGATAGAGAAACAAATTCCTAAACACTCTAATTCAAAAGTTTGAGGTTTTCAATTATCAACTAATAATTCTAAAGCTAAACAAGATACGATTCAATTGCAAACAAATTCACTTAATGGTAAAAGAACTAGGGAGTCGGAGATAATCACTTTCGGTTCTAACACAATTACCTGGCAATCAGTTCCTCAGTTAAAGGACTTGAATCGTTTCTCTTCCAGAGGTTCACTCTAAATAACTTTTCGTAACAAGAGAGTGAATGTGTAACTGGATCCACATCTGTTTCAAATTGAGTTTCTTTTTCTTTTTATATATATAAAAAAACTGATATATGTGTTTGCTTTGGATGATTATTGGAAATAGAAAAGGAGGCCTAGGAACACTATAATGTGTACCATCATCAAAATGAAACTGAAAGACATTATTTGGATCAAAAAATAAATCAATTTAGTGTGATTAAAAGCATTTGCTTAACGAATATGTAATACATATTCTCATTTATATGAATTGTGAACTGGGACCAAAGTTGAGATAAAAGATGAAAAATATTAATTATCTCATTGTGATTACAAGACTCCTACCTACAAACTTGGCACCCCCAACCTTCCCCTGAATTTGAGAAGGCAGTCGAATTACACGCCTCTGGTCACCGGCTTCAACTAGCAACTCCGATCCACCTCGAAACTGCAAAAATTTCAATCACAAAATTAGAATTCTTTTTTACAACAATGCGAATTATAAA